TACACACACACACACACACACACACACACACACACACACTTACATTTTGGGTCTAAATTAGAGCTGATCAAATAGTGTAATATTTTAGTTAGCATTTTGGGTTTTTTTTAAATTAAGTCATCCAAAAAGTACCTATGGCTGCAAGTTCCACCCCGTTTGCCACACTGCTGTACCTTCTTCCAAAAACTTAGTGGTTGTGGCCAGAGTAGGGGGAAAAAAATTGATTCAACTTCTAAACTCTATTGCTTGTCCACCAACTTGCTGTGTGACCCTGGGTAAGGTATTTAAAAATTTGCTTCAGTTTCCCCATCTATAAAATTGAAGCCACAGTAATTGCAATGGGTTTGAGAGGCTTAATTAAAAGTATACGGAGCTTTTTGAAATCTCAAATCAACAGACGCTGAAAAAGCGTAAAGTATTCGTGGCAGTCATAGGGCCAGCCCAGTACTTTACGCTGTTACACGGGAATCCTGCATTCAACTTCTCGCCATAGCCTCTTGCTTTCATAGCAAGAGAACTGGGTACCAAGAATATAATGTCACTGAACAGCAGCCCCCTTTTTCTTAGGTACTGAGTAAGGCTGATGTATCTGGAAGGGCTGTATTGGCTGAAGAGATAGCAACTAGGATTGTGGAACATGAAGAGTACGGGGATGGCTAGAATAGCAAACACTGAAAACACCCCCAAGAGTATTCTTACAAGCATTTTTGCTAGCGTTGTCCATAGCAGTCATTCTGGCACTCTGCTCGCTGGTGGTAGATTCCTTCAGAGAGTAGAAGAGGATGTTTGCTAATGTAAACTCCTGGTAGTTTCGCAGCACGTCAGCATCAATATCATCATAGATACTAATGCTTTCTGTAAGAATAGGTAAGAGTGGAGATTAAAAAAACCCCAAAACTAGTCACATCCTACTGAAGATACTGTGGCATTAAAAACTTACTGACGTGTTTTTGCTTCCTAGCACCCAACCTCGTTCACACTGAAATCAAATTTTATTTTAATTTCAACAACTTCTTGTTTGAAATAAAATAAGCAAAATCAAGTCCCTGTCAACAGAGGCCAAATCCCAAACCATGCTAATGTGGTAGTAAAAAAACCCCAAAACAACTTAACTTAAAAATCCCACCCTCACAAATGACATCCTTGGATTGCCAGACATTTAAGTGCATAACCCCATTTTGCTTACCTTTGCCTGGTAGTGTTATGACAACTAACTGACAGACCATGAAAGATATGGTCTTTCAAGAGTTTGATTCAATGAATTGGACTGCATAGTTAATTTTACTACTTACCAGCACCAGCAACTGTATCAAGAGAGTAGAAAGGTTTTTCATCTGTCTTGTAGGAGATGACAGACCTACATGAGACAAATGATTTTTAAAGATCTTTATTACTGTAAAAAAAAGTCTCTACTGTAATTCTGATCTAAGAATTGATGAAAAACACTTTTGTTTTCCAAAACCTGAGATTAGCATTCCATGGTGCTGTTGTGAACACTGACACCTCAAACAACCAAGAACAGAAAACTTCGTATACTACTTTTGTTGTAACACCATCAACTATAACAGGAATAAAGAACAGAACCCAGAACATTGCTCTTGGCAGGTATGTGCTTTCCAGTAATTGTTAAAGCACATCTAAGCTTACACATGTATTATGATTATTTGAAATCTTGACCTTTTTAAACAAAAAAATAAGCATGTCAGATCACAATGAGTTTTCAGATGTCGTAACTGGACTAACATACCACTTCCATATATTGTATGAGTCTACATAAAACCTTCCATCCCACTTCTTTCTGTGCACTCTTAAAACAAAAGAAAGACCAGTCTCAGTTTATCTTGCCTGAATCGATTGTAGATGACAGATCCTTCATCGAATTCATATCCAGAGTTTAGCAGCTCTAAGGCAATCACTGAAGCATCTCCAAAGCTGGGGGGTTTTCTTCCCACTTCTTTGAATGTCACCAGGAAATGTTTATTGTGTGTCCTAAAATAAAACCAAGCCCGTGTAAAACCCTAGCCAATGTGCTATTGTAGAACCCAACTACAGGCCTTGATTTAGGTAAATACTTAAGCCCATGTTTCGCTTTAAGCACACAAATAGACCCACTGACTTTAAATGGGACTACTGGTGTGCTTATAGTTAAGCATATGCATCAGTGCTTTTCTGGATTGGGGCCTAGGTGAAAGGAATTTTAGTTATTTAAAATTTGGCTCGCTGGAATTGCTTCATGAGATGTTCCTCTAACTTTTAAAACAGTGAGAGTCTAGTCAGCAATCACATTCTCATTCCAACATAGTTCAATACAGTGCAACAATTAACCCAGAACACAATTCAGCAAAAAGAACGTTAGCATAATTGCAGGAATTTGTTTTACAGAAACTTGATTTTTTTTCCACAGCCATTTTAAAATAAATTAGCCTACGCATTCCAAGCTGTTTATTAAAGGATAGCCCTGAAGTTTCTACTATAGAAAATTTAAAGCAGTGCTCACCAACCAGTCGATCGCGAATGACTGGTTGATTCTGGAGACTCTCCCAGTCGATCGCGATCTCCAGCTGCGGCAACATAACGGGGCTGCCTGCCGTGGCCCCATGCCGCTCCCAGAAGCGGCCAGCACACGGGGGAGGGGTCTCCGCGCACTGCTCCTGCCTGCAAGCACCGCCCCCACAGCTCCATTGGCCAGGAATGGGGAGCTGTGGCCAAAGGGAGGTGCGGGGGCGGTGCCTGCAGAGAGGGGGAGCACACAGTCTCGTGTGTTCCCCCCCAGGAAACGCAGGGGTACGATGGCCCCTTCCGGGGAGTGGCATGGTCACGTGGTGCACTGCTGGCTGGCGAGGTGGCCCGGCTTGTGATGGGGAGGAGGGGCTGATGTGCCTGAGTGGGGCCGAGGCAGGGAGTGAGCCTGCCTTAGCCCTCCTACGCCGCCAACCGGAAGCCCCCCGAGGTAAGTGCTCCCCAGCGGGAGCCCAGACCCCAACCCCCTCCTGGAGCCAGCACCCCATACCCCCCCGCCCTAGCCCTGAGCCCTCTCCCAGAGCCAGCAGCCCACAACCCCATGCACCCCAACACTCTGCTCCAGCCCGGAGCCCCCTACTGCACCTATACTCCCTCCCAGAGCTTGCACCCCTAACCTCCTCCTGCACACCAACCCCCTGCCCCAGGCTCAGCCCGGAGCTCTCTCCCACACTGTGAATCCCTCAGCCCCATCCCAGGGCCTGCACCCGCTTCCAAACCCCAACCGCCTCCCCCAGCCCAGTGAAAGTGAGTGAGGGTGGGGGAGAGCGAGTGACCCGGGGGGGGGGGGGAGGAGGGAGGAGGTGGAGTGAGTGGGGCAGGGCAGATCCTGGGTTGTCCTTAAATTCAAAAAGTGATCTTAGGTGTAAAAGAGTTGGAGACCACTGATTTAAAGCATTACTACTCAAAGATTACCTTTGAAGCAGGCCTCTTAACTTGTCACCCACTCCAACCACCATGACCTCTTTCCCTGCATCTGAGAGGGTGCTAATTTCAGTTTTCATGGCTTTAGCAACAGAGGTATGGATAGCACCACAGAGACCACGATCAGAGGACACACCAATAATGAGGTGTTTCTTCTTGTCTTCGGGGACCTTAATTTCTGCTTTCTCATAGAGAGCTGGGGGGGAAAAAAAATGAGAGAGAGAGAGTAGGAAAAGTTGCATTCAAGCATTCATCCTTAGCAATGTCTCTTAAGAGACATTTTGACACTGACTAAACATATTAGCACCTATTCTGACTAGAACCATTTCTAAAGGGATGCCATTCACACTTTTGTCTTTATAGGTCTGCCTATTGATGATATAATTAACCCTTAAGGTTATTATAACGGACACAGAAAGATACTTTTTAAATAATGGTTTACTTCTGTGCATTTGGCCGCACGCTGTGTCTAGTCAGTTTCACTGTTGTGTTGATGCATTAGTCTTGTACATCATTCCAAAGGTGGCTCCGGTGCATGCCCTTACCCACGCTTGGCAATAGCGTGTTTACCAGTAACAGCAAAGTTTAAACTGAAGATGTACCAAACAGGCACATGAGTGCAGAAAGAGGACAAGAAAAGAGAGGAGGGGGGCCCCAAATTATTAGGTGTTGCTGTTTCCGAGCTAACCCCAAAACATTATAACCATTATAAACATAGAAGGGGAGCAGAAATTCCCTCATGTTTTCTAAAAAGCTTTTACAAGTTAGGACATAATATTTAAGGGAAGCAAACAGAAAATGAATTTAAAAATATTTAAAGTTCACATCGTCTCTAAGATATGGATTCTCCTTCTGAAAGTCTTCCCCAGACTTGATAAGTTTGATAAGCATATAGGGGATTTAGGAGCACAAGTCTTATTGAAATTCTCCCCCTCAATTCTTATGTCAGATACAACACAGACATTTTCTCTTACCCAAGGATCCTACTCCATACACTCTAGCTGGTTTCAGTTCCCTCTCAGCTCTGGCATACTTCGCTGCAGCAACCATCTTCATGGACTTTGTAATTTTCTGGATGTTCTTGATGGACTTTAAACGCCTGGTAACTACAAGCATTTGAGGGTTAAAATTGGGCTAAAGTTTCTAGCAGTCACAAATTAATCAGCTTCTATAAGATAGAGAGAGAGAGATGACAATATAAAAAAATTCAAGTGAGATTACAGATTACATTTACAGTTCTGTTTAAACTAGCAAAATAATAAAAGCAGTAATTTAGACAGAATGTGAGCTCCACTTTTTCCTATAAATGGAATAGACGGTCAGTTTTCAGAATGGAGAGAGATAAATAGCAGTGTCCCTCAAGGATCTGTACCGGGTCCAATGATGTTCAACATATTCATAAATAATCTGGAAAAAGGGGTAAACAGTGAGGAGGCAACGTTTGTAGATGCAAAATTACTCAAGATAGTTAAGTCCAAAGAAGATTGTGAAGAGTTACAAAGGGATCTCTCAAAACTAGGTGACTGGGCAACAAAATGGCAGATGAAATTCAATGTTGACAAATGCAAAGTAATTGGGGAAAACATAATCCCAACACACCTAAAAACTAACACCTTCTGTTAGTCTTAAAGGTGCCACAGGACCCTCTGTTGCTTTTTACACATTCAGACTAACACAGCTACCCCTCTGATACTAAAAACGATGGCATCTAAATTAGCTGTTACCACTCAAGAAAGAGATGTTGGAGTCATTATGGATAGTTCTCTGAAAACATCCACTCAATCTGCAGCAGCAGTCAAAAAAGCGAACAGAATGTTAGAAACCATTAAGAGAAGGGTAGATAATAAAACAGAAAATATCATAATGCCACTATATAAATCCACGGTACGCTCACACCTTGAATACTGCATGCAGCTCTGGCCACCCTATCTCAAAAAAAGATACATTAGAAATGGAAAGGGACAGAGAAGGGCAACAAAAATGATTAGGGGTATGGAACAGCTTCTATATGAGGAGAGATTAAAAAGACTGGGACTACGCAGCATGGAAAAGAGGAGTCTAAGGGGGGATATGATAGAGGTCTATAAAATCATCAATGGTGTGGAGAAAGTGAATAAGGAAGTGTTATTTACTTCTTCACACAACACAAGAACTACAGGTCACCCAATCAAATTAATAGGCAGCAGGTTTAAAACAAACAAAAGGAAGTACTTCTTCATAAAACACACAGTCAACCAATGGAACTCATTGCCAGAGGATATTGTGAATGCCAAAACTATAGCTGGAGTCAAAAAAGAACTACATAAATTCATGGAGGCTAGGTCCATAATGGCTATTAGCCAAGATGGTCAGGGATGCAACCCCATGCTCTGGGTCCTTAAGCCTCTGAGGGCCAGATGCTGGGACCGGATGACAGCGGATGGATCACTTGAAGATTGCCTTGTTCTTTTATCCCCTCTTAAGCATCTGGCACTGGCCACTGGGCTAGATGTACCATTGGTCTCACCCAGTGTGGGCATTCTTACGTTCCTAAATAAACGTGTATCGAACTAATCCTGTAGTGCATTTACCTGGAGAACAGACTCTTTCTACAAGGAGACATTTTTCGTATCTCCAAAACCAGAGAATGACGCAGTCGGGGTTTAAGCTAAAGCTCTATTCACGTAGGCCTTACTTTTCCCCTTCTGTCTCTATCTTTTTCATGAATGCACCTCTCGAGTCATCATGCCTATTCCCTGTAGTAAATGCAACTCAATATTTTAAAGACACACAGTCACATTTGGTCCCAAGTTTAGATTTTGGCAAAGCAAGTACATTTTTATACAAGGCAAGACTTTTAGAAATGTTACTATGAATAAAAAACAAAACAAAACTAAAAGAAATGGAAAAGGATTTCAAAAAGACAAAGACTAACTAAATTCCCCTGCAGTATTTGTGCTAGAGATTGGAATTCTTTACTAATGCATGAAAACCCAAAAGAGTGATTTGATAAGATGAAAAACAAGTAAAACTGACAGGTTTGTTTTTATTGTCCAAAGTGAGAGAAATACACAAAGTCTACAAAAAACAAACAGAAAAGTAAATTCAATTTTTAAAATTATTTGTTTTAATAAGCAAAAACGTCAGCAAAGATTTTTTTGAAGTTATGCTTTTAACTTAACAGTGTCTTTAAAACAAATCAGTTTCCTTAAAAAACATTTACCTTTTATTGAATGATGTCTTTTTTGAAGAACACTGCTTAATTATGGGTAAATTCATGCTTATGAAAACAAGAAGCTGACAGCATTGACTAGAAATGGTCACAGGGTAAGCAGCTTCTCTTTACAATTTAATCGGTGGCTGCCGGCTTATTCCCCCAAACACAGATCAGCCAGCAAGTGATTTTGTGATTACAAGTTACAAGGAGTGCTGACCCTCCAGAATCAGATCGTGGCTGAAACCAGTTTACCCTTGTTTATCAAGTCTACATTTAAACCTTACTTATTTGGAGGAGTATGAGTTTATTAGTGCATTGTACCACTTAGTCCCAATATTATGATGACACTAATTTTGCCATTTTCAAAAAGAAGTTTAGCAACTTAATGACCAAAATGAGTAACTACAATATTAAGGTTTGGAAAATAGAATAAAGTTAAAGGCAGGCACAGCAGCCTTCTCTCAAAGTCCTTGGTTTTTGTAAACATGCATATGAAAAATAACTTATTTCTTGTATTTAGTTTTAAACTACTCGTGCACTTGCCTTTTTTAATTTCAGTTACATACCCTTATTCTGGTTTACCCACACCAGTAACGGAGCTTTTCTGTTTAAGAACCTTCTGCAAACACAGGACTGTGAAGACCCTCTTATGACGGTGATAAATTGTCTAAAATGACAAAGTCTCCCATCTGGCAGAGCTGGTCTTCTGACCAACACAACTTCAAAGCCTCCAAGTCCACATTTTTGAATTTAAAAAAAAGAGACATTTTCCTTCATAATCAATTTACTGAACCGAGACCGTTACAGTTTGAGGTAATATTGCATTTTAAGAATGCTCCTCTGCAACAGAAAGGCAGAAAGGGATCTAGGGGTTATAGTGGACCACAAGCTAAATATGAGTCAACAGTGTGATGCTGTTGCAAAAAAAGCAAACGTGATTCTGGGATGTATTAACAGGTGTGTTGTGAGCAAGACACGAGAAGTCATTCTTCCGCTCTACTCTGCGCTAGTTAGGCCTCAACTGGAGTATTATGTCCAGTTCTGGGCATCACATTTCAAGAAAGATGTGGAGAAATTGGAGCAGATCCAGAGAAGAGCAACAAGAATGATTAAAGGTCTAGAGAACATGACCTATGAAGGAAGGCTGAAAGAACTGGGTTTGTTTAGTTTGGAAAAGAGAAGACTGAGAGGGGACATGATAGCAGTTTTCAGGTATTTAAAAGGGTGTCATAAGGAGGTGGGAGAAAACTTGTCCATCTTAGCCTCTAAGGATAGAACAAAAAGCAATGGGCTTAAACTGCAGCAAGGGAGGTTTAGGTTGGACATTAGGAAAAAGTTCCTAATGGTCAGGGTGGTTAAACACTGGAATAAATTGCCTAGGGAGGTTGTGGAATCTCCATCTCTGGAGCTATTTAAGAGTAGGTTAGATAAATGTCTATCAGGGATGGTCTAGACAGTATTTGGTCCTGCCATGAGGGCAGGGGACTGGACTCGATGACCTCTCGAGGTCCCTTCCAGTCCTAGAGTTTATGAATCTATGAACACATCTCATTCCTCCCATCTCCTACCATATTATAAACAAATCAGAAGTACTTACTGTCCTTCAAAGTGGCCATATTCCTGACCTGGCCCCTGAAATTTAACAGAAACATTGTGTGTTAAGTGCTACTCCAACAAGTCACCAGTCTCCTATTTTCCAGAGATGAGAGAATTATATTTGCAAATGTAAAAGTGTGTTGTTGCTTCTTAATGAAGCTACTACAGAAAACATATTTTATTCTGTGTTGATTCATATTCTGCACCTTATTAATATCTTCTCTTTTTCCTTTCTTCCAAGGCAGAGCACATCTTTGTTTAATACTTTATTGCTATGCAATGCTGATTAAATGTATCATACAGCATCGTACAGTACCCACTATCCCAAAGAAACTGTTATTGATGGTCAGCTATAAACAGGGGATAGCAGGGAGGAAATCTCAGAGACGGGAGAAAACCGACATCCATAACTTCAAAAGATACAAGGGCATCTATGATAATTAACGAGTAAATGGATGATATCTCCCCTCAGTATTTGATAAGATCACTGTGATGTTCGCAGCCTCTGTCACCTACAAGGGCAGGTCAGCTTTTCTCTTTTTTGCCAGGCATTGTTCATCTACCCCTAAAATTTATAACCCCCGCTACTATAAACTCACTTCTTTCAGCTGGCCTCCCACCTCTAACTGTCCACCTGCTCACATGCTTCACCTGATAAATTATATGAATTAAATTACAGGTCTCACATTATAATTTAAAATAAAAACATTTAAAATAAACTGTCAGACAAATTGGACTGGATTTTACATTCCCTCCTGCCACCTTCCTTCATCTGTATTTCATCTATCAAGCACGTATGATCTTTGGGGCAGTGAACCTGACTTCCCTGGTAGGTTAAAGCAGCAGCAACGTCCAGAGAAGCGATCTTTCATTCAAGCTACATTACGATAAAATCCTCCTTATCTGAGCAGCCCCCCTCCCCAAGCTTTACAGAACACCCCCCTCCCCTTAACCTTGTGCATAGCTCCTATCCCCATCAGTGGGGTTTGACCAGAGAGAAGGGCCTGGCCTGACAGCGGCTCAGTGCATCGCCCCGATGCTCCAGCTCCCCTGGAAGTGACTGCGCTGGGGGGGAAAGGAGCAAGGGCAGCTCCCAGGCGGCGGAGCAGGGCCACTCCCGGTGCAGCCCCCTGCCCTGTTCACTGACCAGGCAAGAGCCAGGTACTGGGGTGTTCGGGTGCCCCCCCCCCCCACCGTCTCCCCCCCCCCCAGGGGCCAGCCCCGCCCCCTGCAGCCCCCAGCCCTGCACAGATCCCTCCCCCTTATCCTCAGCCCCCCGCTATCCCCTCCCCCCATCCGGCCGCCCTCCGCTCGTCCCCAGGCCCGATGCTCTCTGGGCCGCCGCCGCACTTCCCTCGCCGCATCCCAACCCCGCGGTCCCGCTCGCTCTCGGCACCCGTAGACGCGGCTCGCGCCCCGTTACCATTGCGGCTGGTAGACCAGGACCGCGGCTCCCCGGGAGAACATGGCGACGCCTCTCCCCGCTGCTGGCTGCTGCCGCCCGGCTGAAGGTCAGAGCCTCCGCACTGCGCACGCGCCGCGACCGACAGGGGCGGGGCGAAGGGCGTTCTCGTGGCTGGCTGGCGGAAGACGTTCCGGGGTCGTGTCCTTCCGCTTCCGGGCGGGGCTGAGCTGAGCTGAGCTGGGGGGTCGCGGCTGGTTGCCGCCGCCGCCGCCATGGGGAAGTCGGATTTCCTGAGCCCTAAGGCCATCGCCAACCGCATCAAGTCCAAGGGGCTGCAGAAGCTGCGCTGGTACTGCCAGATGTGCCAGAAGCAGTGCCGGGATGAGGTGAGTCGGCGCGGCGGGGCGGGGGCAGGACGGGGGGATGTGGGGCAGGGCAGGGGAGATGGTCCGGGGCTGGGAAGGTGCAGGGCAGCGGAGGTGGTCCGGGAGCCGGGGGGATGGTCCGGGGCTGGGAAGGTGCAGGGCAGCGGAGGTGGTCCGGGAGCCGGGGGATGGTCCGGGGCTGGGAAGGTGCAGGGCAGCGGAGGTGGTCCGAGAGCCGGGGGATGGTCCGGGGCTAGGGCTGGGAAGGTGCAGGGCAGCGGAGGTGGTCCGGGAGCCGGGGGGATGGTCCGGGGCTGGGAAGGTGCAGGGCAGCGGAGGTGGTCCGGGAGCCGGGGGGATGGGCTGGGAAGGTGCAGGGCAGCGGAGGTGGTCCGGGAGCCGGGGGGATGGTCCGGGGCTGGGAAGGTGCAGGGCTGCGGAGGTGGTCCGGGAGCCGGGGGGATGGTCCGGGGCTGCGGTGGAACTGGCTGGGAGACTAGATTAGGGGGCTGGGACTCGGCCGTAAGTAGGAGAGTAGCCCCTGGCTGGGGTAGGGGGCTGTGTCGGGAGGAGGCGGGCTAGGAGACCCATTAGGGCGGAGCAGGGCAAGGGCCCCTTCCACGCCTGGGGTGGGTAGGATCTGGCTCGGCACTGTCCGCAGCGAAGCGCTAACGGGAGCTTAGTGCCATCGAGCCCGGGAAGGGGAGCATCGCCCTCAGCAACAACACAAACCTCGTAGAAACACAGCCCCTGTTGAACAGGAGTTCTCAAGCTGGGGGGTGGTGATCCCTCAGGGGGCCGCAAGGTGGTTACATGGGAGTCGCCAGCTGTCAGCTCCGTAGGGCTGACAGCCCTGAGCCCCCATTAAATTAAATTACCCCCCCCCGTTTTTTAATTTGTAAGGGGGGCTACAGTCAGAGGCTTGCTTTGTGAAAGGGTTCACTAAATTAAAAAAAAATGAAAACCACAGCTGTTGAAAGACTAGTAATAAAGACTTACATGTATCTGTAGCAAAGGAAGTGTCTTTTACATAACTGACAGGTTTCAGAGTAGCAGCCGTGTTAGTCTGTATCCGCAAAAAGAACAGGAGTACTTGTGGCACCTTAGAGACTAACAAATTTTTTTCTTTTGCCTAAATCAATGCTAATGCATATCAGAGGAGGCTATACATTCAAATACAATTCAATGAACTAACATGATCTGTTTTAAGTCAATACTCAGCATTATAATAATCCACACAAAACAAATTAATAAAATACACTGGATAAGATTTAATTCTTTTGCTTGACATTTGTTTCACATGCCTTTGAAAAACACCTGTAAGTGTATTATATTAATAAACAGAGTGAAAGGCTGAGTTGTGCTGCAGCTTTTGCAAGTATCACTGTCCTCTGATGAAATGCTTTTATTAACTTCCTCCAGTAATAACCTTGACAATTTCATAATCAGTAATATACTAGTGCACTAGATTTTCTCTCTTCTTTGGAAGAAGGTCATCAGTATCACAAATACTTGGACAAATTGGGGCATTATTAGTCCTTTCCACTTTCATTGTTGTAGTACTGATCTCTAGCAAATATATCAGAACTTGTAATGAGCTTTGTCTTCACTTGTGTTACTGACATTCTGCCTGATATGTGTTCTGCCCTAAAAATACAAGTCCCATATCACTTTGTCTATTGAACGCAGACCATGTGCTTAATGCTGAACAGAACACAGAATGATATCCCCTATGGACACTCACTACCTTACGATCAAGCTCTTGGGTCCCAATGTGGCAAACGCTTATGCATGTACTCAGTAGGACTAATCAGGTGAGGAAAGTAACCACTTTGCTATTATAGCTTCAGGATTAGGACCTAAAGGCTTGATCCTAAGGTGCTGAGTGCCCATAACTTACATTGAAATCAAGGAAAAATGCAGGTGCTCAATACCCCTCAGGACCAGACCATAAAAAACACATCAGGATAATGAGCATTAGCTGACTGGGAAATAGAATAATCAAATAGCAGTGCAGTGTTATTAAAAATAAAATCTCTTATGCAAGAGGAGAGCTAAAACTAGGTAGGCATCACAGAAGAAGTGTTTTAAGGGATTTAAAAGAGAAGAGCATAGATTCTTGTTACATTGGGATGGAGAGGGCATTCTGGGCATAAAGGACCCTTTGGAAAAAGAAAAAAAGGGAGTGTCTGTGTGGGAGATGTGTTGGTGAAGCCAAGGGAATCTCCTTTCACTGTAACCGTATTAGGGCTTATGCCAAACATTTCACACTCCAGAAGCAGGAGTCATACAATTGCTGCCTAAGCTCTGTTCTCCCACCTTAGCGGCACTATGCAATGATGGTATTACCAGGAGTAAGTCAGTTTTATTTTTTAAAACTCGAACTTAGGTTTTGTTGGTGTTTAAAATGTCAGTTTACTGACTTCTGTAAGTCAAGATAATGTTTCTTTTATTTTACAGAATGGCTTCAAATGTCATTGTATGTCCGAATCCCACCAGAGACAGCTGCTACTTGCTTCTGAAGATCCTCAGCAATTCATGGATTATTTTTCAGAGTTAGTTTCTCAAACTTCCCCACGTAGGCCTTGCTCCTGCCATTGAATCTAGGTGGTTGCATCCTGGTGCCCTCTTGGAGTCCCATTGAAAAAGCTGAATTTTGATGAATTTTAAAAGTTTACTGTAGTGTTATTTGGTAGATACTTTTCAAACAGCAGTATGAAAAGTTAAGGGGTAAAAGTTTCAAAAGCATGTAAGTGATTTAGGACCGTAAGTCTCATTGCAACTCAATGGGGCTTAATCGTTTTTGAAAAATTTACCCTGTTTCTAAATACCTTTTTTTAAACTTATTAGCCAGTCAGAATGCAGCACTTTGTTATTGTTAGTAACCCTCTGAAGTTATGTGTAGGACCCTACCAAATTCACCACCGTGAAAAATGCAACACGGACCATGAAATCTGGTCTCCCGCGTGAAATCTGGTCTTTTTTTGTACTTTTACCCTATACTATACAGATTTCATGGGGGAGACCAGTGTTTCTCAAACTAGGGGTCCTGACAAAAAGGGGGCTGCAGGGGAGGTCGGAAGGTTATTGTATTGGGGGGGGTTGTAGTATTGCCCCCCTTACTTCTGCGCTACCTTCAGAGCTGGGTGGCTAGAGAGTGGTGGCTGCTGGCTGAGGGCCCAGCTCTGAAGGGAGCAGCGTAGAAGTAAGGGGGGCAATACTGTGACTCCCCCCAGCCTCCTTTTGGGTCAGACCCCTACAGTTGCAACACTGTGAAATTATGATTTCAGATATTTAAATCTGAAAATTTATGATTTTAAAAATCCGATGATTGTGAAATTGACCAAAATGGACCATGAATTTCATAGGGCCATCGTTGTATAGTAAGGAAATGTCAACTGGTAGAAGTTACTATTATTATTAATTTGTATTATCGCAGTGCCTGGGCGCCATAGTCATGGACCAGGACCCAATTGTGCTAGATGCTGTGGAAACACAGAACAAAAAGACAGTCCCTGTCACAAAGAGCTTACAATCTACGATAAGAGACAACAGGTAGCTACAGACAGACAGGGAAGTACAAGGAAACAAGGGGACAGTATTTGTCAGCTTGATAGGCAGTGGTTTCAGCATGTGAGCTGTGTAATTGACAAGGTTGTTTTAGACATCATAGCAAAGGAGAGTTTTGAGGAGTGATCTGGAAGTGGATAATAAGGTAGCTTTGCTGATGTTTATGGGGCATGCCTCCCACTTGTGAGGGACAGCATGGGAGAAAGCACAAAAGTACTTTTTGAAAACTTCAGTGTGTGATGGAGGTTGGCATCATAGTTTGATTGGAGCTGAGTCTCAACAGGGAATCAGAGATGGTGGGGACTGACTGTGGAGGGCCTAGAAAGTGACAACAAGTAGCGTATGTTTGATGCAATAGAGAAGGGGATATAGTGGAGGGATGCAAACAGAGGTGTGACATGGACAAAGGGATGGGTTAGGAAAATTATCTTAACAGCATTCTGAATGGTTACGAATGGGGGAAGAGTGCCTTTGTCAAGACCAGTGAAAAGGATGTAGCAGTAATGAGATGTGAGATTTTGAATGAGTGTTTTAGTTGTGTGGGTGGATAGGAAAAGCCATATCTTAGACATGTTATGTAGAAAGAATCAGCCACATAAGGACGTAACCTGGATGTGAGTACCCAGAGTGAGCTCCAGATCCAGGATGACACTCAGGTTATGGGCCTGAGTGACTGGCAGGATGGTGGTGGTGTCCACAGTGATCAAGAAAGGAGGTAGCAGGGAGGGCTTGCAGAGGGGAAGATTAAGAGCTCTGTTTTAGCCAAGTTGAGCTCGAGCTGTCAGCTAGGCAGCCAAAGGAATTGTCAGAGAGAGATTTTAGTTGAGACCCAAGGAGGCAGGTCTGGAGCAGAGAGTAGATTTGTGAGTTGTCGGCATAAAAATGGGAGCTGAATTTGTGTTACTGATGAGATTGCCCAGAGATAAGATAGAGAAGGGGACCAGCGACAGAGCACTGGGGAACCCCCACAGAAAGTTGGAGGGAGGATGAGGATCCTCTGAAGGTTGCACTGAAGGATCAATAAGTGAGGTTGGAGGAGAACCCTGCAAGGACAGAGTCACAGAAACCAAGGAAGGACAAGATTTCAAAAAGAAGAGCGTAGTTGATGGTATCAAAGGCAGCTGACAGGTCAAGGAGGATAAAGGGTATGTCTACACTGCACACGCCTTATGGTGGTATATAAAGTATATACACTGCTCTCCCCCCACCCCCAGCACAGATAGA